CGATGGTAGGACAGTGAATCGCCTGCAGTACCTGTATGGAAAATCAGAGATCTCTCTAAAATCCATGGTTATTCACAAATATACCAACCCGACCAAGAAAATCATTACTTTTCGTTTGGTGCAGCTTTCAAAATAGAAAAAAAAACCGCGGCAAATAAATGGTCATTGGAACAATATAAAAAATGCAAAAAACATAGAAACCATTGAAAGGCGATTAAGGCATTAACTTTATGGGAGAAATGTTGTCAAAAAAGAGAGGGAAATTACACTTTAATCAGCTTATGAATACCTGAGTAAGTTCCAAGACTCAGCTTGTACTTGGCTCGTTCACTGGCCACAGCAAAGTTGTCGTACTCGGCATACGCGGTCTTTCCTTTGGTATCCTCCAGGTCAACACGAAGACGGTTTCTTCTTTGATGGGTCAGTCTGTTGATCTTATCGAGACCCAACCAGAACTCGCCTTTCAGATCTCCAAATCCATTCTTATAGTACATCCATCCTCGGTAAAAGTTCACCGAACCGTCTTGTCTTTTCTGGATAACTGTCCAGCCTCCGCCATCGGTCTTTTGGTCGCAGTAAACCTGGAAATTGAATGGACGCTTTAAGTGGAATAATATATATTTATAAAGCGAGGACTTATTATGCTGTCACAAGAAATGTTGAACGTATTGTGTACATGGTACATAATTTTGATGTCGATCTTGCTAAAACAACACATAGAATAACACTGGAATACCTTGAATCTTCCTTTGCCATCTGGATCGATGGAGTATACGCCACTTTGTTTGATCCCGTGTTTATAGAGATCGGCACAGTTCTTGAACACTGAAAAAAAAAAGAAAAGCAAAGTGTCAGGGTCGTCTCGGAAATAGCCAACGTAAAAGCATATCCCAAAATTGGTAAATTGCGGTCCAAGTTTGAGAGTAACAAATTGAGTGACATTTTTAAAATTATTACTAGTCACAGTCTCACCACACTAATCATTTATTTTCGTGAGATATTGAAAGTTCAGCGCCAATTGTTTAAATAACTATAAACGATCCTATTTAAATTCTAAGTAAAGAAGAAACAAGGTGTGCTAGTGTTACCTTTGTAACCTTTAGATGGTCTCACAAATCCTTTTACCTTTCCATAAATTTCATTCAGCATGTTCGCCAGTGCCACAAAGTAGGTTCGAACATTTTTAGTGTCAGGGGGACGCAGAACGATTGATTTTGACGGATATGGTTGGCCTTCGTGTACAAACACCAGGCTAACAATCACCAAACAAAAGCCAAAAAACTTCATTCCACTTCAAATTTGACTTTTCAGTTTTGGTGTAAACTCAACGAGGCTAGTCCCGAGACTGATGTAGTGTTTAGGAGAGAGACTGTGTTTTTCTTAACATGTATTCCTAACTTGTTTTTGTTATACGTTCTGTAAATATCAGTCCCAATGTGACAGTTAGTATATGTTATAGGACGCCATTCTGAGTCACTTTAAGAAATAATTGGACATTGGACGAGAACGTAGGACCTCGTATACCTATATGTCCAAATAATATTGCTGTATGTCCAATTTAAGAAACTTACTTATTTAGGATTTAACAAATTGCGCACGAACATTTTACCACATTTTTAGTCTAAATATTAGCGAAAATCATTGTTTTCTTTCAATTGAGCGTGCGCATGAGATGTGATGGTTTCAGAACAGTGTGCATGTTCTCTTATTGACACACTCTAATCAGTCAATCAGCGCGCGAGAATATACACAAGTGTGGTAAAATACAAATTAGACAACAGAAAAGGGACAGGAATGAGCTGTTTTTGAGATAGTATTTTGTTATGAAGTGCTCATTCTAGCAGCAAGTTCTCTCACACTATATGTATGTATATATACTTGTGCATGGAACTAATTTAGTTCAACATTTCATTTAGGTCCGCATTATGAAAAAAAACCCGAACCCATTGTAAGGCAGCCTAATAATATCCACTTCCCATCCTTTGTTATTATAAACCACAGATAAACGGCCCTTCACATTATCTGCAGAGTGTATGCAAAAGCGACAATGAAAATTTTCTTGACTTACTATTTTATTTGATTTCATATTATATTTTTGCAATTTTGCTATTTTGCAGTATTCCTAAAATAGAAATAGCGGCGCTCGTCAGTTCGGCATTGTACTGTTTTTCAACAAGGAAGTAGGAATACTTACTTGCTTAGGAATCATAATAAAAAGTCACTTCAAATTCTATTCCAAATTGTAGGTTTCTAATTGACTTCATTATTTCTCTTTCATTACTCTTTTTGTTTTTTTTCCTCGCCATTTATTTCTCTACTGATATTTTTACTCAATTCTAMAGCTCTTCAGTGTTGAATTTTCTGTAGTTATATCGACAAGGAAATTTGAGTGGTTGCTCGCGTTTTGCCAGCTTTTCAACCAATGAAAAAATACTTGTAACTAAAATATATATTCTTGGAATTTTCTTTGTGTTCATTAATTTCCTTGGATGTGCCATTTGTTTGAGCGTAGTGATAAGTTTTAAAAAGAATCACTAGCTACCCTTCCATTGAGGAAAATTTTAATCCATGGACGAATAAAGTAAACATTATTGAAGAACAAACTGTCCAAATATCTCGAAAGACAAACATCAATTAGTCATACCAGGGGAATCTTATGATCAAATAGAAGAAAGTGATGTTGATGGTTTTGGTCCTGAATCACTCAGTCATCGAAGTGTTTTTGAAGGGTCGTAACAAGATTTACATAGTTACATTCATTAGATTTGACAGAATCTTTGTGAAAGGGGGTGGGGGTGGGTTGCCTATCTCTCCCTACGCCAGTAGTTCTCAGTGAAAGCCATGAAAAAAGTGGGACGCGCACGTCTTAGCAAGAAAATCATGTGTTTTTCAAATCATCTTTATTTTGTACTTGGTCGGTACAACAGACTGGCAATGATTACACTGGTCTTATCTTCATCTCAGCTCTCTTAGCGGAATATTTGTAACCCTTCCAGTCACTCCAGTTCACACCGTCACCATAGGACTTGTGCTTACCGTGGTGGTACAGATCATTAAGGTTGGAGTTGTGGCACTCGTTGTACCACCAGGCACCCTTGTACACTACAGCACAGTTACCACTCGACTTATCATTATCACGATCTTTGGTGGTGAAAGGCATACCACGATGCCAGGACAATGAATCGCCTGCAGTACCTGTACGAGAAAAAAAGGATATTTCTAAAATCCTTGAGATAATTGAGAATCGATGTTCTGCGAAATTCCTGAGATCGTCCTATTGTATAATGACGTCACACTATGTGTACAATGGGGATAGATGCTTCGAAACAGAGGGAATTAAGACCTATTAATATAATTTTTTTCCGAAAATTGAACTTCAATATGTACTGTGCTTTGATATAAGTCATTTATGTCTTCCAAGAAGAGTGATCATGTCACTCCACTTCTGAAAGAGCTGCATTGGCTGACTATTAGGAAAAGGATACAATTTAAAATCTGTCTGTTTATGTTCAAGATATTTAAGGGCGCAGCTCCTTCCTATCTTTCTGACCTGTGTACGTCATACAAGCCCATTCGTACTTTACGATCTGCATACAAGTTCCAATACAAAGTACCTGTCTCTCGAACAATCACGTTTGGTGACAGAGCTTTTGCCATTGCTGGTCCCAAACTATGGAACTCTCTCCCTGAAGAACTGAAACGATCCCAAAATGTGGACATCTTTAAATCAAAATTGAAAACGTATCTTTTTAATTAATTTCTTTTCTTTTTATATTTTATTTCTAGTTTCTATCAGCTTAATTTATATAATACAGTATTTTAATATATATCTATCGTTATTTATCTTTTTCTATCTCTTTATATGTGTTTATAGTATTTGTAAAAAGCATTGAGTTTTTGAAATGCGTTTTTAAGAAATAAAGTATTATTATTATTATTATTATTATTATCAATCATCTACATGTTTTATTTGATATGATGCAGTCACTCTGATCCCATCTGGCGGCCATCATTTAAAAATCATGAAAAATGCTTCACTATTTTTTTCGTTATCTTTGCTAGACTTAGTGTTTTATTGCTATGCATACCTGGTACTAAGGAAAGAAACAAACGAAGAACAAATAGATAAGCAATACCTTTGTAGGAGCCCAAACTCAGCTTGTACTTGGCTCGTTCACTGGCCACAGCAAAGTAATCGTACTCGGCATACGCGGTCTTTCCTTTGGTGTCTTCCAGGTCTACACGAAGACGGTTTCTTCTTTGATGGGTCAGTCGTTTGATCTTATCGAGACCCAACCAGAACTCGCCTTTCAGATCTCCAAATCCATTCTTGTAGGCGTTCCATCCTCGGTAAAAGTCCACCGAACCGTCTTGTCTTTTCTGGAAAACCGTCCATCCTCCGCCATCGGTCTTTTGGTCACAGTAAACCTGGAAATTGAATGGACGCTTGAGGTCTTGATATGATTATATATTTCTATAGCTAGCTTTTTATTGTGATTGTACAGTCTTTGGGCACATAAAAATTGTTCAAACTAATGCTTTTATGTGTATTGTATATATAGCCAGATTTTATATTTCTTTATTTTAGATATGATTTTATATCAACAACGTGTAAAATGGAAAACTATTATTACCTTGAATCTTCCTTTGCCATCTGGATCGATGGTATAGACACCGCTTTGTCTAAAACCGCGTTTATGGAGTTCTTTACAGTTCTTGAACACTATATAAAATCAAATATTTTAATATCATATAATTATCTATAAAATACCTATATTTCTCCATTACATTCGTGGTATTTCTATATATTGGAGGTAGATAGAAGTTATTTTAAAACATCTTTTGATTTCATTGTTAATTTTTTGATAAAGAGAAAATATTGCAATGTCGCTTGGAGATACGAATTTTATCTTCGAGAGTTGAAAGGCTTAGGATTGAGTTTTTTTAGAATGTTTCTACAAAAATGGCATTTCAGACCGGCGTTAAATAAAATCATTAACTTCGGAGTAGTACAAAATTATTAATCAATATTTAAAAGGAAAGCAATTTGATGATTTCGTACAGTTCTCCGCAAAAGTACACAGAACTGTCACAGAGTTTCGGACTACCAAGTTAAGTGACAACGAGAAGAATGGCCGTATATAAAACAACTGCATGCGATTCACCTTAAATAGCTATTTAAAATTGCTCTCACTTAAATTCGTTTGCTAACGTAAACAAACTGAATGATTAAGTAACGAAGAAAGAAAGTGTGTCAACTATACCTTTGCCGCCACCTCCTTTGGATGGTTTTCCATTTCCTTTTACCTTTCCATAAATTTCGTTCAGCATGTTCGCCAGTGCCACAAAGTAATTTCGAACACTTTTAGAGTCAGGGGGACGCAGAACGATTGATTTTGAGGGATATAGTTGGCCTTCGTGTACAAACACCAGGCCAACAATCACAAAACATAAGCCAAAAAACTTCATTTCACTAATAGTCGGACTTGTTCAGTTTTGGTGTAAACTCAACGAGGTCAGTACTAAGAGTGATGTAGTTTGTATTCAGAGACAACAGTTTATGCTGTCTTACTTTTGAGTGTTAAAACATGTATTCCTAACATGTTACGGTTTTCAACTATTGCTAGAAAATTCTCAATTGTCCAGCTGACTACTGAAATATAAATATTTTTAAATCAAAAGATGGCTACAGCAAATTGAAGAGACGTTTACCTGGTCGGCAGT